ATCAAAAAATCAGTGATGAGAATTAATGGAAGTTCCATTGGCTGATAGGTAATGAAGTATCGTTATCTTCCCTCGCTACAATGTTGGTTCAATGTTGGGGTAGGACGACTATTTGCATTGAAATACAAAGACACATCCTGACTGCATTTCGTACAACACGATAACAAACTTTCTTTCTAATGTTATCAAAATGTCGTCGGAGATATCAGCAAATGCAAGGCAAGATTTGAATGAGAAAAGTGGCAAAGGTCAAGATGCTGAGATCAAAGTGGGAACGCATCACATGCAAGAATTGGAGGTTGACGTTGGAAAAATACTCAATGATGAAGGGCTGGATGATATAGAAGGCGATACATCGCCATATCCTGAAGGTCAATATAAATACAAATTCTGAAGGAATGGTGAAACTAACAGCGTTCCAGTCAGAGCCGTAGTTCCAGATGTCGACGATCAAGCCATTCCTGTCAATACTTTGAGGATGTGGATTTTAGGGTTTGCTTTCACTATGATTGGTGCGGGTATCAATCAGTTCTTCAGTCTTCGTTACCCCTCAGTTCATATTGTTGCACTCGTTGCTGAACTTCTGGCAATGCCTTTTGGCATACTTTTGGCAAAGATTTTACCCCTCTACACTCTTAATCTCGGGCCTCTGGGGAAATGGTGTATCAACCCCGACAGGCATTTCAATATCAAGGAGCATACTGTGGTAACTATCATGAGTAATGTCAGCTTTGGTTATGGAAGCGCAGACTCAACGAGTATTATTCAAGCTGCAAAAGCATTTTACAACTTTGATTTGAAGCCTGGCTTCTCGATTCTTATCGTCCTTTGTTGTCAAATGATGGGCTTCGGGGTTGCGGGACTATCTTCACCTTGGTTGGTAGAACCTGCGTCTATAATCTGGCCAGGAGTGCTGTCTAATTGCGCTTTACTATCCACATTACATTCTCGAGCAAATGCAATCGCCAATGGTTGGAAGATTAGTCGATTGCGATTCTTTATGTATGTTATGGTTGGAGCGGGAATCTGGTACTTCTTTCCCGGTTTAATATTTGTGGCTCTCTCATATTTCACTTGGGTCTGTTGGATTGCTCCAAACAACCTGATCGTCAACCATCTGTTCGGAATGGTTACAGGTCTCGGATTGAGTCCAATCACGTTTGATTGGTCACAGGTAGCATATAACACAAATCCTCTGCTCTCGCCAGCGTGGGCCGGTGAGTCGCGTTTATGTTTTATGTATTCAACCCATGTGGCTAACAAAAGCCCACAGCTGTGAACGTATTCGGTGGTTTTGTGATTTTCTTCTGGATTGTTACCCCTGGTCTTTAGTAGGTCAAAACACATCACTTTTCAGTCAATCCGAATATTGATTCATACCCACAGTTATTCAAACGTTTGGTACACAGCCTATCTTCCACTTTGTTCGGCTAATGTATACGATAACACTGCGTCCCTATACAACGTTTCTCGCATCATGACTTCGTCAAATACTTTGAACGCAACTGCATACGCCGAATATTCACCTGCATACCTTCCTGCTACATTTGCTTTTGTATATGGTATATCTTTTGCAGCCATTACCGCTGTTCCAGTGCACATATACCTCTGGCATGGCACTCAGATTCTCGATGCATTTGCTGGTCGGACTAAATTGGATATCCATGCTCGTTTGATGCGTCTCTACTCACGGACTCCTTGGTATTGGTATGGGGCTATTACTATTATAATGCTTGCATTAGGTATTGTGATGGTCGAAGTTTATGATACGACCTTGCCGTGGTGGGCTGTTATACTAGCAGTAATCATACCGGCATTTTACATGATTCCATGTGGTATTATTCAGGGGATAACCAACGTAGATGCCAATCAACTCAATGTTCTAGCCGAATTCATTGGTGGATACATGTTTACTGGACGACCATTAGCGAGTATGTATTTTTCTATGTTAATGCAAAAGACAATGATGTAACTTACCAATTACAGACATAATTTTCAAGGTTCTCTCTACTGATGTGGTGGGCCAAGGCCTGTACTTCGCTCAAGATATGAAGCTAGGTCATTATATGAAAGTGCCCCCTCGAACTCTTTTTTTCGCACAAGGAAGTGCCACTGTGAGTTGGCCTTTGTATCTATCAATCAAAACTGTTTTTAATGACCGAACTAGATTCTTGGGGCCCTTACACAAGTTGGAGTGACTCTATGGATGCTCGGTAATGTCAAAGATATCTGCTCGGAAGATCAATCGAATGGTTTTACGTGTCCGAATGGCCGTACAACCTTTTCTTCCTCAGTCATTTGGGGTGCAATTGGACCAGGACGAGTATATTCTATCGGTAAAATTTATTCTGGCCTGCTGCACTTCTTTTGGATCGGCGCACTTATGCCGATAATCACGTGGGTTGTATGGAAATATTGGAGGAAGGGTAACGGTGAAGAGAGAAGCTGGATACGACTTATCAACTGGCCGTTGATATTTGTTGGAACTTATAATGTGCCACCTGCTACGGGCATCAACTACAGTAGTTGGGCACTGGTAAATTTGACATTTAACTGGTGGATCAAAGCAAAATGGTTTGCGTGGTGGTGTAAGTCCGACTCCGTCTACACAATAGAGTTGATACTGACAGATTAAAGCCAAGTACAATTACATCTTAGCAGCTGCACTGGATACAGGTCTTGCACTTTCAGCAATTATAATATTCTTCTGCATTACATATCCTGGAGCTCAATTTCCAGATTGGTGGGGTAAGTTCTTTCTCTCATTTCAAATATGCTTGGTGAAAGTAGGATTGACTAACGTTTGAGCTTGCAGGCAATACAGTTTACCTCAACACGGCAGATGGAAATGGTCTTCCATGGCTTTCATTACCTGAAAGTGGTAGATTTGGCCCGGCAAATGGAACATGGAGCTGAAGTTCTCAAATCTTAAGCTAGGGAACGAAATCTTGTGATGGAGTCTTGACGCTGAGAGTCTGTGTGAAAAAAAAAGGAAGAAAAAAAAAGATGAAATTTATCATCAACATCGGAGACCCTGGCACGCCCCCTCGATTTTCACACCCAACTATGGGAGTAGTTCGCTAGGATATCTGAGCAAAAAGAAGCACAAAACATACAACAGTAGGGATTCGCTGGTGGTCACCCACCCAACTACTAATCTACCGATCTGAGGCTTGTGTATGGCAGAGCGGACGGGATGCCCAATTCTCCTCAGTCTATGGTCGTATGTGACAAGAGTTGCCGGATTTGACTATCTATACCTCACTTAGCACCCTAGAATGCTGTGTCATAATATTGCCTAGTTTCATGAGAATACATCAAATAAGAGAATCCAAGGCTTCGGCAGTTTCTTAGGCATCTCCAAATACTCGATTTATTCTGCTGAAATACATAGTTGTGAGAAGTGATCATTGAATGATGTGAATGAGGTTGGGGTCGGTTCAACACAGTGCAGAGGAGAGGAAAAATTGTGCATGTTGATGCAAGATCTTTACCATTCTATCTATAATACTGTGATGCTTGGGACTAGGTATGGAGCACATGTAGATTGCGATAACTTCTTAACGAATAGTAACTGAAAATGAATGGCTACTTCCAACCACACAATCAGCTTTTCACAATGCCCCTCCTAAGTTGTGGAAGTATATATCACGTGACTGTATCAGATCCTAGATTAGTTGGCTCTACGATCAACTTAACAAACAACGCGCCAGGGTTGAAATCGATCAAGATGAGAGCTATAACTATCTTATTATTGAAGGATCATATAAAACTTTGTTGCTTTCATGGCCATCACGTGTGTGGCACCACGTTCTACTTCGGCTGTTCGGAGAAAAAAAAACGGGTTTGACCTCTCAATACCTACTTTGAACAATTTGGCTTTTCTCCTCAACTTTGATATCGAGTATATATCTGAATGGTATTAAAGACACTCTACAGCTGGCTATCAGCTTTACATACTCAGAATTACTAATTTTATTTGTGGTTGATTTATAATTCAATTGACTGAAAGATGTGAGTGATTATTTCAATGGTCGATACCGGCCTCTTTTTAATCCGAATGGCTCGGAAAGCGTACGCGCACGGGCCAATCGTTATTGTTTTATGAACACAACAAACTTCAGCAATTGACATTGTCATCTTGGCAAGCCAGCTTCATAGTCTTATCTTTTACTTAGCCACCACGCATTCCATCCAGCCCAAATTTGCAATCATAGTCAGGGAAAGCTGTTTGGTGGCGCGTGCAGACATTCAAAAATGAATAGCATACGCGTCGCTGAAAGGCAAACCCCGCTATGAGGCCAAAATCGAGGGCGATTGAATGGCGGTTGGTAATTCCCCGCATTAACAAGGCCAAACTCGAGGACCGCTGTCGGACGGCGGCTGCCAAGATAATTAGATTTGGATATCTATCGACGAGCAAGAAATTCTCATGGCAGTCACAGGATGACATGATAAACGATTGTGGGAGCAGTTGTTGACGGAAAAAATGTTTCTTCCTACGAAATATAGCCATGGTATGTTTTCTGGAATAAGAGCTGACATTTGCTATAATCGCACTATCCAGCGTAACAATTTCACTCCGGCCTCAGAAGTCGTGATATTCGGCTGTTTCGTGCCAGAACACAGCCCGCGATTAGGATCTCGGGAAATTAGATTATTTCGTTGATGCTGACATGGGCTCTCCTCATCTTGCATCCTTACGACAAATTTACTCTCACTCAATTGGCTGATCGCATCAAACAACTCAAAACGATCTCGCTTGATGCTCCCCCTTTGCATGCACGTGCCGGAAATAGCATCTTGAGGCCCTTGATCTGATGTAACACTCGAAAACAGTCTCCCATGAAGTAATGGACTTGAGTGCACTTTTAATAGAGTTTGACAGGGACGAAGCCGTTTCTGGAACCTTTTGCAAATATGATGTGGTATCCATACTCTTATCCTACGTACTGTAGGAATATTTCATTTTCCTTGTTGCTGGAGGTGGCATTCCTGCCCCCAGGCCGAGCATTCCAGTTATCAGCAGCGCCGTATGAACGGTATCGAGTATTATACTTAAGCAGCCAACAGCAGCTTTACCTGTCTGCGTCTGAACTTTCTTAAAACGGTATTCGGATTTTTTCCACAACTTCTGCTTTCGCACTTTGTCACTCATTTTGTCACTCCTTTTCAGATCTGTTATCAGTCATATTTTTTTCTATTATATTTATTTAACAAGTCACTCCTTTACCTTATACTCCACTTCTTTCAAGTCACACGTCGCAACTTAAGATTCACATATCAACTATTCCAATAAATTACCACAATGTTATTTTCTATTTCCAGTATCGTCGCGGGGATGAGCTTGCTCTCCCTTGCTCTAGCTGCCCCCGCAGTCCCAGGGTTAGTACCACGTTTATTCCCTCCATCCTGATTTTTCTAACATCAACATCTAGTGAGGTCACTCTCGAGAAGCGAGGGTTCTCTTGTAACAGTCCTGTTGCCGGTCTCACCGCCGCAGATTGCAAACATATGTCGACCATCGGGATGGCCGGCATGGGAACAAACACGAAGGCTGCCAATGGTGCAGTCTGGATCGGAACTCAGGGACCCAACACATTTGTTTTCAAAAACAGTGCAGCCGCACCCGTCACTGTAATCATCTGGACCCAAGCTGCAGGGGATTATCAAAGCTCCTTTATGAACGCCCGAAAACCTCAAGTCTCTTATTCATTGGGCGCTGGTCAATCTGTTACAATCTCCATGGCAAATGGAGTATCCGGTGGATGGGCTGGTCTTTATAATCAAAAGACCACTTTGAGCCAGTATGGCCAAGTTTTTAATACTTGGGGAGAATTCACAACCGGAGCCTATGCTACAGTAGACGTGTCTCGCGAAGTCAACATGGGTGGAAACGCCATGACCATCCAAGTCGGCAGTTGCACATCCAGTATGTCCAAGTGTGTCTTTACTTGTAAGAGCGGGAATACGTGCGGAAATGCAGGTACTTATTCGTTGATCAACTGTGCTGCTGGAAGCCAGACTGGTGCTACGTATGGTCTTGCTAGCGGTCAACCATCAGGTGGTTGCCAAGGGTTCAACAATGGTGGAAAGGTGTCTGTTACTTTCTCCTAGTGTATTATTTATCTTTATTATTTGTGAGGTGGTGACTTGTCTGGGGATCACAAGCTGGGTTACTCATAAATGGATGTGGAGGTCTTTTTCATGTATTGTCATTTGGAGTTGAAGACTTGAAGTGTATATTCAACATTCGAGGGGCTTCTGGGAGTCATCGGATATGAATGTACTGATGACTGTATTTTAGGAATCTCAAACATTTTTTTCGAAAGTAGAATCACCGGCATTCTGCCCTGTCGTTTTATTCGTGAAACAGAGTTATTGAGAAGTAATATTAATTGTATGAATTGTGTTTCTATAAATTACACATTACACACTATCCATGACCCATACAAAAAGCCCCCAAATGCAATGATAGCGCCAAACATATAAACCTTTGAGATTTATCCATCAAACTCACCTCTATCCTTAATCTTCCAACTTCTCGACTAGTCATGCGTCACCAAATGCTCACTCTCATCAGTAGGCATATCATTCTAGTACGCCGTCATAGCGCTACCTGATGAACTCGATACGTTACTCGAAAGGAAGACGTACGTGAATCACTAGATTTGAGACGTACAAGTCAACAAAGGAAAAAATGATATAACTTTCCCCCAAGATGATAATGAATGCGCAAATATGCTCTTACGATAGGAGGTAAACTCCGTCCGAAAATGTAACCACGGTAGGGACGACAAGCTAGAGAGTACTCATGAAGCTTGCTGACACATAACTACCTAGGTATTGATACTTTTGACTATCTACCTAGGTAGGTAGACAGAAGTATGAATTATATAAACAGATTATTTTCGTACACCGCTTTCAACTTCTGCCACTGTGTCACCCACATCATTTGCCCAGCACCCTGTTCAACAATCTTCCTTCACTGAATAGAGAAAGATCATGACCCTTAGAAAGGCTCGATCGCAACAATCGGGAGCTTGGGGGATTGCCCCAATCAATATAAAAATATATCTCTTTCATGTGAGCGGGTTCCCAGACCCCCAGCCCTCCAAGAATTGATGGCGAATCAAAATTGCGCAATATCTATATGCAGTTTCTTCATATTCATAAACCAGTTTCCAATCACCCATTCGTATTACGTAGAGTGGCACAACATTTCATTTTCCTTTGAAACCATGATCTGTACCTCAAGATCTTCGCTGCGATATCGAAATACTACCGAAATATATATCATAAGAGGGTGGGGCTGGATGCCTTGAAGGGTAATTTTTTCTCGGATGGGAAGTGATTTTGGTTTCAGATTGAACTGAACATATCGGGAAGCTGTATTTGAACTGAAGATGTTATTTAATGAGAGCATCAACTATGCTACAGCGCCTTTGCTCATCCTTAACTACTAGCCTGTACCACTTTCAGAACGCAATATCCTAACTCGGGATCATACATGTACACCTAAATAATCACCAATGTAGTTGCTCATGTGTCAAGGATGACTAACTCGATAATCAAAGGTATAGACTTTGGAGACATGGCATCTCGAATTTGCTGTAGGAATTATTTTGGTTGCTTGTCTGCAAGATTGCGAAGACTTTGGCGAATGTAGTCGACCTTATAGAGATCGGTATAAATTTGATCAATGAGATTTATCATACATATCGATCAGTGTGGTATCACTGAGACTTTGAGACCTCTCTGCAATCACAATATAGAAGAGTCCGGATGCAGGGAATTATAAGCCAGAGCAACAGGAGTGGAATCCGCCACTGCCTCCACACACAATAGAAGGCAGTTCTCTTGTGTCAATAACACTCGCATATATTGTAGGTTCAAAGTGAAACTCTGTTCGAAGTATTCCCAACCTTTCAAAAGTATGCCTGGTATCCATATTGACCTTGGCAACGGCAATAACAAAGTCACTGCTTAGAGTTTCTTTCGGAGTAGAGCACCAGAATTCTATACGCTCTCAGCTGCTCTCACGTCCTCTTCCTTAACCACATATTCTTGCTTGACCAGAATTCTATCTCCAAATTCCTGTTGTCCGAATCCTTTTACATCTCTCAACTCTCGAGCATCTTCACTTCCTGCGTCACTATGATCATTCTTTGATGTTCCTGTTTGGCTCTTGATTTGAATTTCGTTTTAAGTTGCTGTGCGTGGCTAGTCTTCAGTTCTACTGCCTCCATGGTTGGATTATCTTATTTGGGTCCTACTTTGGGTGCTGTTGTATCGTAAGCCCACTTTTTTACCTTATCCACGTACGCAAAACTAACAGACCCAATGGCGCTTTTTGGGCTGGTCCAGCTGGCGATAAACTACTCATCCGACTCGCACGCCGCAACCAAGGACGTAGTGAGCCCGAACACCGCCTTTGGCTCTTCTTTCTCAATGCTATTTCCTGTCCTGTTGGCTTGATTCTTTGGGGAGTGGATGCTGCACACAGCGTTCACTGGTTTGGATTGATTTTCGCCATATTCATTTTATCAGCTAGTATTACCATTGCAATTCCAGTTAGCTGTAATTATGCCATTGATACTTATCAACAGCTTGGAGGACAGGCTATGGGTATGACTTTTTATTTCATCTAAGCTCTTTTTCTCGATGCAAAACCTATGTGCTGAAAATTCGACTAATTTGTCTCTCTCGATACTAACTGTCATAATAATCCACAACAAAATGTCTTTTGCTATCAACTACTGCATCACACCCTGGATCCTCAATACTGGTTATCAAAACACATCTGTAGCCGCTGCCTTTATCTAGTTGGCACAAGTTCTCGTGTTTTTAGTATTTGTGAAATGGGGTAAGGGATGGAGGGCAGGAAGTAGAGAACGCTATTGGACAATGGTTGAAGAAAGTGCTAAGAGGGGATTAGCGCATTTAACGAAACACCGAGTGAAAAACTTGGTGGGTTTGAAGAGATGGTGAGAAGGAGACTCAAAGAAAGAATTTGTAGATGATGGGCAGGGCATGATGTAAATAAATTATCAAAAGTTGCTTTTTGTTTTGACATATGTTGAAAAGTAAACATCCACTGTTGAGTCTACGTCCCCAGTCTTGGAATACTGAACATGCCTATCTTGACATATGCTTAGGATCATGAATTTCTTTAATTTTGTTTTATATGAAAATTCGATGTACTTCGAGTCTTGAACTCGCCTTTTGTTGCACATCTACTCTGAAGAATTTTTTTGGAGAGTATTTTGATCTTCGATCTGAACATCGATATACCTGAGGCTTGTGATGCTTTTTTGTTGCATATCTAATAACTGGGTTTCTTCAGCCTTTTCTTTCAGAAATATCGAAGACTCTTTGTTGCATATCTGCTCTGAAGGAACATCTTCTCTGAAGGCTCTGTTCTAAAAAAATTTTTTTTTTTTTTTTGGAAATCATCTCTGACAATTATTACTGAATCAATCTCAGGTCTGAATTTGATCCTCCGAGTGCTCTTTTGTTGCACATCTGAAAATCGAATTGCTTCAGCTTTTCCTTTCAGACTTTTGAGAGGCACTTTGTTGCATATCTCAATCGGTACTACCGATTCACAAATTTTAAAGTTTGCGTCTCGTAATATGAGGTGTTTGACTCCGATAAGTCGATATATTTTGGAACAGACACAATGATAGCATGAGAAAGGCTTTCTCCAAAATTCTAGTAATACAATTATAGAAGTAAAGTTTCTGCTCATCCACAAACATACCAACACCCAGTGTTTCATTCCAATTCATGTGCTCATGCAAACGGCTTCATTCATATCCCTAACCTGCCGCCTCCGCCCAATAACTACCTCCAGTCTTAGCTCCCAACTCATTCCCACTAGCCGGCACAACCCTCTCGTCAAAAAGTACCGCTCTCCTCGCCAATCCAGTAATTGGCTGCCCACTCGCCGTGTTATTTCCCGTCCCATTATAGCCCACATACTCACCTAGACTCGGGGGCAAATCACTGATTTGTGTTCCCCAACTACTCTCACTGCTTCCTAATACCAAAACTAATTCCTTTCCTTCCGTAAAGAAACTATGATCGATCCAATTTTTTGTATAAGGTTTCCCATTCAATGTTGCTGATTGGATGTATATATTTTTATATGAGGGGTCAAAATTGATGTTTCTAATGGTCGCGGTTTTGTTTGTGAGGGGAGAAGTAATGGATGCAGATTCGAAGTATGGAGGGATGATGAGATAGACATCCTGGCCTGGATTGGGGAAGAGTCCCATCATACTGAAAGCGACAAAGGAGCCCATAGCACCAGAATCATCATTACCTGGTAGTCCATCGTTTGTGGGCGCAAAAAATGATGGTATGTAGAAGTGGGAGCGGCGAGCTGAGAGGGCCGGACGACCGGCGTAATGGTATTGGTAGACGGTGAGGAAAGCGGGCTCGTTCCCAATGTACGTTATGTTGTTGTCATGGAGATAGTCTAGACGTTTCACAAATGCTGCGGGCCCTCCAAAGGTGGTGATGAGACTTGCTTGGTCGTGGGGTACAAAACTGAGGATGCAAGTTAGTTTCTGAGTGTTTCAAATCTGGCAAGAGATTGAAAACAAACAACTGTACATACAATGAATATTCCCAAATGCTACTTTCAAAAGTTTCGGCGCCCGAGTTTTGCAATGAGCAAACACTATTGGGATTGTTGTCTATATTGCTGCACTTTAAAGGATCTTGCAGTCCCCATGTTTGATTGAGATACTTTGGTTGGAAGAATCCTTTGAAGCCTGTGTTAGTACCATTCGCGAGATATGATGTTTGTGCATCGTTGTATAGATTTTGCCAATTTTCGCTGCGTTCGAGATACTTCTGGACATCTGATTCGTGGCCTCCTAGACCAGAGCCGATGCTTGCAATCACGAAATCATTGTAGCTATATTCTAGCGTTCTGGAGACACTTCGTGTCATGGTACCGAAGCCCTTGTAGTCAACTATATGCTATTAGTTAGAGCCCATTGACGAGAAGAATGTTGAAGTTCTGAAAAACTGAGACATACAATCTTGAACAGGTATATATCCAAGTGCTTTCCATGAATCCAGACCGCCACGCCCCTCACTTGACCAATCGTAAGGTTCGACTTCCGCATCCTTAACAACAGCCTCGTAGCCAAGATCCCAGTCTATACCTTCAGTAATGCCTTTGATGTAAACATCTGCAAGGATGTTGTCTGCGTTCGAACCGCCTTGGGTAAATCCTTTACAAAGACTCATACGGCAATCAGGAAGCCATCCTTCGTGAACATCTGAAATTGATATTAGTGAATCACGTTTTATTCATAAATGAGAGGACACCAACATGTATCGATGAGCGAACGAACCATTCTAGCCACAGTGGAAGGATCCAAAACTGTCAAGAATGGTGTC